TGGTTACTATATTCTCTAACCATCTTCTGTGTTCAATTCAGCATCCTAGTTATTCCATATGCTAGGAAAAATTGATAGACAGAGGCTTCAGGGTACAGTGGATTGAAATGTGATGAAAAATATCCAAAGTGAAGATGGAAGTCTGAAAGAATTGTATTTATCTTCAGTTTTTTAATTTTATTGGAATGGAATAATATCCCTCACCTTTGTGAAACTGAGAACTTCAGCTTTCTTTCTACCAAAATGCCTAATTACAAATTGATTTTTAAAACATTGGTTACAATGTTAGTTGTAAATAACCTAAGTTTTTTTTTTTTTTAACTGAATTGATTATAAATTAGAATTATTTATTAAATCTGCTTTAACTGAAATTGATTATAAATTAGAATTATTTATTAAATTTTGTTGAATGATATATTTTTAGTTTGAAATTGTGCATGAAAATTAATCATGTACTAACGATTACATGAGGCAAGTTGTTTTTCCTGAAAAATGTCAGTTTTGTCCTAAATAACAAACTAAAAAAAATTGCCATGTCTGTTTCCAACCAATTCATATAACTGAAACTAGATACACTTTTAAAACAGAAAATGTCTATAATAAAGTGTTTTTTTTTTTTGTTTTGTTTTTTTATATACATAGTCTTCCTTTCAAGAAAGTAATGTATATTGTTAATATTTCATTTGGCTTCTCTTGAATAATTGTTTCAATTCAGCTTCACATGTATCAGATGTCATTCCCTGTTCTGTGTTGTGATAATTCTTTAGGATTACATGGATTCTTCTGAGCTCTTCTCTTTAGTTATGTTTGGGTAAGCATTTAATAAGGCAACACTTTCATTAGCCATCTGTGACATGAAACCTCATGATGCTGAAAAATCTTGCCTTTATCCAACTCTGTTACCAGTCAAATGGTCCTTCAGTAACTGGATGTATTTGACACTATTGACGTTACTGTCAATTTTAACCAACATTTTCCACTTATCATTTTTTATGCATCCTTACAACATCAGACACTTACCTTAAAACTTGACTGTTATCATTGTGCAATGGCATTCATTTTGCTTTCCTTGCGGGCCTTCTGACAAATTCTCACTTATTAGAATACAATTTAAGATCTTTCCTGAATATGATCTTATTTTAAACACCTGCATCCCATAGATCATACCTCATCGAGCAACTTAATCTTGCTTTCAAATGCCTTTTGCTTAATGCTGATTTCTCGACTAAAATGCACCCCTTCGATCTATGTTTTTGAATGATGCACTTAGTGCTATCTACTGACATCAAATTGAGCAAGTCACACTCATTCATCAGCACTGAAAAGTGAAAATCATGAGGTCAGATGGCTGAAAACCTTTGCACAGATATTTTTATGGGTCATCTCACATCTTCCCTCTTGTTCAGAACCTGTGCTACAAAATATAATTCTGTATAGAAATGACAACAATAGTCAATGTTAGTAAAAAAAAAAAAAAAAAAAAAGATCCATTCACTTGTACTATAGCAAATATTAAAATATTACAATAGCTTAAAGTGATTGAAGATTTTCACATGGTATTATGCATAAATGACTGATGTTTTTTTTCTTATATATTCCTTAGATTTTTTTATTTTCAGATATGAATATAAGCAGCTTTATACTTTAGTTGTTTGTAGTGAAATTGGAGGTGGCAATAGAAATTGGCAAAAAGGTTTTTTTTTTCTTCATATTCTTATTCATCATGTTGCAATCTAAATTGTCATTATTTAATATCTAATAACTACTGTCTTAAGTATAAAGAAATTGTTCCTCAGTTTCTCAAGTCAGAACAAAAGAAATGATCTTAGCAAGAAACTCTTGAAACCTGAAAGTGAAAATTTGGTTATTAAATTTCTTTTACAATGATATTCATCCCGTACAAGGCCCGGAGCCACTTGTGGTAGAGGGTTACACAGAGTAAGAGGCATAGTTTATGTGGATATGTGGAAAAAATAATGAACTCTAAAACTTGAACAGGTTAAGATTGTAATGATCAGGGGACATATCCTTTTGGGAGTTGGTTTCACAAAACAGTGGTTCATGGGAGGAAACTAATCAAGTGTAATTTATATCTCAGATTGAACACAGGTTTTTGAGACATGTTGGAAGGCTTATTGGAATGGAATACAATGGGAATGAGGGTGGTTCACTATAATGTGCATGGTATGGCGGGTCTTCACCATGAAGGTGAGGACTGGTGAAACTAAGGAATGTAGTTCATCTGAACACTTTCCATGGATATAGCAATAGACTAACAAGAGCTTTGCAACATTTTGTCTACCGGAAAGGGGCTACAGGGTAGAAAATAATTTGTCATTCACAAGGACAAGGCACAGGGCCTCCCTGGGGGAACAACTGTTCATCACAATCAGTGAAAGTTCTGAGTGATTTGTGATGACGGAACACCACTAGTTTGGTTTTCAAAGCATTTGAATGTGACAAGCCAGTTTGTTAGAGCTAAGTCAGAGGAGGGATCATTTGCCAATCTCTGGTCATCTAGTTTTGAAGGTGCAACCATATACCATTGTATGATCAGAGTATACACTTAGGTAGATCATTTATGTAAAGTAGAAAGAGCGTTGAACTGAGAAGTGAACTTTGGAGGATACTTACTTTGATTGCTAAGGCCTCGGAGAATTGGCTGTTAACAAGTATCTTCAGGAACCTACCTGTTAGGAAGGACTTTATAATTGAGAAGATTCTTCCAGCAATTCCATAACTAGAGAGCCTGTGCAGTAATTCTTTATGTCACACCTTGTCAAAAGCCTTTGAAATGTCTAATCTGTTAGTCCTTGACATGTATTTATTGTCTAGTGCCTCATTGATTCTGTGAGCAATGGCAATTAGGATATCAGCAGTGGATCAGGCTGATCAAAATCTGTATTATTTGTCGCTCAAGAGGTTGTTCCTATTTAGGTGATCAACAACCTTCTTGTTGATTATAGCTTCCTGAGAGGAGGATGAGCACTCACCTGCATTCTTGAAAACTGTGTATACATTTGACACCTTCCACAGGCTTGGAAAGGATTTCTCCTTCAAGTAGCAGTTAAATAATTTTGTTAGGTTCTGGGCGAATTCTGGATTGATATTCTTAAGGACAACCACAGGAATCAGTGGTCTTCTTAGAGTTAAAACTTTTGATAAGTCTTGTGAATTTTCGGGCTGTAATAATAAAAAAAATATTACTGATATTGTGCTCAGTGACACTGGGGAAATAAGAGTATGGTCTTTGTCATCTAACATCGAGTTATAGGCAAAGATCAAAGCGAAGAGCTTCACCATATCTGATGAAGATGAGATGACCTCGGGGCCATTTATAATAGTGGGCACAGATGCTTTGCCTCTATTCAAAATTTAGTTTGAGATCTTCCAGAACTCCTGGGATTCAATTTGTTTGTTTTCAGCTTTGTCCTGGACTGCTTGTGCATAGTTAAGCTTTGCATTTTCTAGAAATTTCTTGCAGTGATTGCAAGCAGTTCTGAATGCAGCAAGTGTCCAACTACACTATTTCCTGTGATAAATATTATAGTAGTGGTTACAGTGAGCTATGGATGGAGAAAATTCAGGGATGACTTAGTTTTTGCTGGAATTTTTTCTTGGATACAAAACTCTATTCCAGAAAGGATCCATTCTGATACTAGGGCAGCAGTTTTGGAGGGACTATATTTGAAGAAGGCTGAGAGAGAACCTTTTGCCATGTAAGATCTGAAGATGTCCCAATTGTTCTATAGAACAGCATATCAGAAAATGTCTGGTTTGGCACCAACTTTGACACTGACTAGTGAATGGTTTGAAGTGATCAGGGAGGGAATAAAACTTCAGCAAAGCATTTTTTGGAGCAAGATGTGAAGAAGAGATCGAAGAAGTTTGCCTGTCTTATCAGAAATGTGATTGGGTTCTTCAATGATCTACATTAGAGAAGTCTCTGCAATCTTAATCAGTTTTGTTCAAATGGACTAACCACTCATTGTGATGAATATTGAAGTCACTTCAAATATGAAAGCTAGCTGAGGGAAATTCAGTCATCTCAGATATTCAGTCGAACATTACAGTTCGAACATACAAAGTGCAATGGATAAATTATCTAAATTATGCAAAAATGAAATAACACTGACATCTCATTTGAACATATATTTACCAAAATTACACATAAATATCTTGAAATACTAAAGAGTAAATTTATTCAATAAAAATTATCATTGGCTTCAACCATGGCCTCGAGACAACTTTGGAATCTCCTGCAACTCTTCTGGACAATCTCTTAAGTTGGTGAATGCTGCCATAATCCTTACTTTCAGTTCATCTTTGCTATTACAAGAAGTTTTGTTGGATTCTTGCTCAACTGCACCACACACATAATAATCAAGGGGGTTGTAGTCTGGGGAGTTAGGTGGCCAGATGTAAGGGATGATATGGTCACAGAAATTGTCTGACAACCGTGGCTTGTGTGGCATGGTGCAGAGTCCTGTTGCCAAACATAGGGTCTTCCATCAGCCACCCTCTTGACCCAGTGTAGCACTATCTCCTTAAGGCCGTTGATATAGGCCTCTGTGTTGAGTCTGGTGCCCTTTTTCTCATAGATACTGTGTAGTCGACAAAAACAAATATGCATGCACAAAGTTGATAATATAAAATGGCGACAATTTACACATCGCACCCTGTATACATGAGATCAGGGTCCTTGTTCCTTTTGCATCTGCCACACGGAAACCCATACTTAATATAGGTGCTGAACCCATGGTCATGGCAATTTTGGTGGTCATATTCAGTTATAGGGGCGAGTATCCTGTAATGGTGTTTCCCTACAGTGGGATAGTTATCAGTATCAGAAAAATAAAGATGAGGATCATGTCAGAATAACTTAGTAATTTTACTTATCTTTTAAAAATGTTTAATTAATGCTCTTAATTTGTGCAAGAAAAAAAGAAAAAATTCACTATTTTTTATTTACAAATTTCATTTTTAGTTTAAAAATAGCAATGGAAATATGGTGGTGTGATATTACCAAAATTCTCCATTTGTTATCTGTTTTTTTTTTGTCTCTCTCTATCTCTCTCTATCTATCTCTCTCTATCTATCTCTCTCTATCTATCTCTCTCTATCTATCTCTATCTATCTCTCTCTATCTCTCTATCTCTCTATATCTCTCCACTCCATCTCTCTCTATCTATCTCTCTCTATCTCCATCTCTCTCCATCTATCTCTCCCATCTATCTCTCCCATCCATCTCTCTCCCATCTATCTCTCTCTATCTCATCCATCTCCCATCTATCTCTCCATCCATCTCTCTTCCAATTATCCATCCATCCATCCATCTATCTCCCATCCCCATCCTCCATCCCCCATCTCCATCTCCCCCATCCATCCATCTCCCCCATCCATCCATCCCCATTATCTATCTCATCCCTCTAAACCATCTCATCTCCCCATCTCCCCCCATCCATCCATCCCCTATCTCTCCCCCCCCATCTCCCCATCCATCCTCCCATCCATCTCTCCATCCATCTCATCTCATCCCCATCCTCTCTCTATCTATCTCTATCCATCTCTTTCTATATCCATCTCTCTCTCTCTCATCTATCTCTCTCTCTCCAATATATCTATCTATATATCCATCTATATCTCTCCTCTATCTCTCTCTCCATCCATCTCTCTCTCTATCTATATATCCATCCATCCATCTCTCTCTCTATCTATCTCCATCTCCATCCCCATCTCTATATATCCATCCATCTCTCTATCCATCTCTATTCTCCATCCTATATATCTCTCCCCCATATATATATCTATCTATCTATCTATATATCCATATATATCTCCATCCATATATCCATATCTCTATCCATCTCCCCATCCATCTCTCTCTATCCATCTCCCATCCATCTCCCTCCATCTATCCTCCCCATCCATCTTTCCATCCATCTATCTCTATCTATCCATCTCTCCCCATCTATCTTTCAGTCCATCTGTCATCCATCTATCTCTTGTCTATTTATCCATCCATCCCATCCATCATCTCTTTATCTATCTCATTTTCATTCTGA